ATTACAATGGAGGCGCTTCGGAAGAAAGTGTACAACATTGTGAATGTGGACCCAAATGAGTATGAGATAACTATGAAAGTTATATATGAAGCAATGAAAACTGCATGGCCAGCAGAGATAGCTGATGATGATGACGTGAGATCTTTTATTTTTGAAAGTCTTTCAAGTTCCTACAAGATTCCATTGTGCATTACATTGAAGGGTAAAATAAGCAATCAACAAGCTCCATCGGTTGACGTCGGACAAGAATCAATGCCAGTGGACCTCAACGTGAGTACTCAAGTTGTTTTAGAAGATAATCATGATTCAGAAAATGACTTGGGAAACAAAGAATTTAAGGACTCTGAATCTGAAGTGGAAAACAATAGAACAAAGCTAGATAAGTTGCATTGTGAGAACATGCAATGTGAGGATATGGCATATGTAGAGGCTGATAATATATTCCAAGATAATGCTGAATTCAATGAATTGTGTGGTGACAACAACATGGGGTGTAATGATGTACCAGCTGTCAGTGTGCAGTTTGATGAACCCAACTCTGACAAACCAAATTCTCTTGAGTATTCAAGAATGAAAATACTTCAAAAGGGGTTCTGTGATTTTCAAGGTGAGGCAGCCAAAATGGATTCACATGTGATAGAATGGGCTGATAAGTTGGTGCAAGAAAACAACACAAAAATGTTATCATTGCAGGTAATTTTGTTTTTGTTTTTAGAATTGAAAAAACAGATTGGACCATTTGATAAGTTAAATGATTGGTACCCGTGCAAGGAAAGTTTAGCAAGGGCTTCTTTTCCTCTCGCAGGATATGGTGGCTGAGATTGCTATGAAATGGACCAAAGTTCTGAGAACTGGAGCTCTTGGGGTAAGATTCATGGGTGTTGATCTAAACACAATCATGTTCAACATGGAACAAGGCCAAGACATGACAGAGGTATGCTTCTTTCCCCCCCCCCCCCACACTAGGTCTTTTGTCCTCCGGATCTAAGAGAATGAGGTTCCCTTGTGTCCTGCTGGAGAAATTGCTCCTTGATTGTAGATGTCTTTCATTTCTTAAGAATGTTTTTTCACAACAAATAGAAAAATCTGAATTGATGAGCTTATTATTGCAGATCATGAATTTCTTTGATTGGATGATGACCTGATTATTGTAGATCACGAACTTCTGCGTTTCTTATACTGTTTTATCCCTTTCTTTATCTCGATTCTCCAGTTGAAGGAGTTTGTGTTGAACCGACCAGAGGCCTATGAAATAAAGATCGGCGATCAAGTTTTTCGAAGACCTGGAGATCCTCCATTGGAGGAAGTTGTGGAGAAGCTCCAGAATGAGAAAAAGAGAGTGGAGAATGAGAGCCCGGCAGAGAGCAATACGCATTTGAAAGAGGAATTGTACTAAGTTTTCTGACATGCAATATAATGACCCCTAGTTTAACTCCATTGGGGGAGCCACTCCGAATATTCATGCATTACTATTCAAGTGGATTTTAGGCCGTTGATTAAGGCGGCATGATTAGTTATCGCAAACCATTTCCTGTGTTTTATTTATTTCTTCGTTTTCACTTAATCAATAAATACGACCCCGTTCAATATGTCGTTTTCTACCTACACCTTTAACGATGGATTTTTCCTAATCATTTATTTACTCAGTCCCTTTTTCCAAACATTAAAAATATTTAAAACGATTATATTTGGGTAAAACACATCATATTTTACAATTTTATTATAAAATTACTTTTAACCCTGTCCAAGTAGCGTGCGAGGATGAGACAGAATCATAATAGGTTTTTAAATAAGTTTAATTCTTATTAGCTTCGTGAATTTACAAGTTATACAAGCTTCTCATTTTATTAAGTAGTATCTTTATTAGTGACTATTTATCCTTGCATCCGAGATTAGAGTTGATATCTCGAGTGCATAAATGGAAACTACTCAATTTATATTAAATTAGACTTGTTTTTTCTAATTCCACTAAAAGAAAGATGTGCAAGTCATTTTTTTCGATATAACATGTAATGCATGTAAAAAATGCCAGGAATGTAGATCGGTGTTGCAATCAATGCAACATCGAGCCCAATCCAAGTTGCAAAGTTTTAAGCCCCACATTTTCCAACATAGGGGAACTCCACACACTGTGCTCAATTTTTGTCATAAACATGGTGGGTTGGATCAAAGTTCAATTCTGTTTGCTTTAATTTCATCAGTTCTTTTTTTAAAAGCAATCGATCATCTAAATTACAAAAAATAATGGGGATTTCTCATACACATTACCAAGATGTCATAGATGTTTGAACATGAAACCATTGATGTGCAAATTAAGGGTCTTTTCTACTGAACTATGCTTCGGTGGCATAATTTCATCAGTGTTTTATTTGTATATTAGCCCCTTTTTGGTGAAATATATTAGTCTTATTTTTATGTAAAGCCAATTAAGATAAAAATAACCATTATACCAATCATTATTGTACAACATAATATGTCTAGTAACGAGTTTGCATGATACCTATGGATTTCGAGTGATTGCCTCTCTTGCACAACATGAGAGAGAGAGAGAGAGAGAGAGAGAGAGAGACAGAGAGAGCCTCCTTTTCTTTTTCTTTTTTTGGATTTCTTAATTAAGAACAATTATACATCCCTAAAATAAAAGGCATTCCTATATTTTGTACAAAATATGCTGGACCAGATGGCCAGTGGTCCAAGGATCTTGTTGGCAACAATTGGGCCTCATTTCCAAATTTGTTAGTTTGAAATGGAGGGGCCTGCTTATTCCGGCTTTAACTTCTCCTATTTGATATTTGACATCAAGATGAAAAAAAACAAAAACAAAAATAAAAACCCATAACACGAAAGTCCCCTTTTCTATTAAAAATATATGTTCCCTTATTTTCTTTTCTTTTTCTTTTGGTAGCTTTGATTTATAGGTTGGCTTGTTTTGACTTGACTTGACACTTCCGAGAAACTAAAGATAAATAATTTTTGGGTGAGGCGGCCGCATGAATTTCTCGCTAAAGAGTGTGCTATTATGAGTTATGTTTATTTGTCTTTATTTGCTAGTTACCAATAATTTGATGTTATTATAAGTCAAGCGATAAAGAGTAGTTGTTTTGGCATTTAAAGCAATATGTTTGGTTACCTTTCTCCGAACATCGCTTGTATAAAAAAATAATTTAATACCATTACGAATCATCGATGATAATTAGACTATATGGTTGTTTGTAATTTTATTATACATGTGGCCATGCCAACATAATTGGGCAATAAAACAATAATAAAATATAAAATAGAGATACTCAAAGTAAAATTATGATAATTTTGGTTGGCAAGAAAATGAATGCAGATGATAGTGATAGATATACCTTGCCAAGAAAATTAAGGCAGGTACGGGCAGTACAGTGAATGATTTATTAGGAAGAGAAACAAGTATATAGAAAACATGTGCACATGAGTTCATGGCCCATTTTGTACGTTAATCCAATAATACATTATCTGATTGCAACCATTGAGACTATGACCCAAAAATAATATACTTATTAATTATAATTCGTTTTGCCATAACTTGATGTGCAGCTCTTTCTAAAGCGACATGTAAATGTGCACTAGTAGGAGATAATAGGAAATTTTTTTGTAGCTACTACATATTAAGTTTATATATGTATCTCGCGCTTAATAGGAAATAATTATTGGATCCGTCACTGATACTATGTTGTATATGATGTATTAATGAAGTGAATTTTTATACGAATATATGATTCAAATTGATATTCTAACATAAGAGAGTGACGGATCGATCTATAAGAGTGTGAGAAACAACTTGATAAACTGAATTACGAAGTTAATTAACTTTTTTTCTTAAACAAAGAAAAAGAAATGAAGAAATAAAAGGAAACAAGAGAAAAACAGCTACAAGGACAGTTGATGTAATTGAATGGGTGCAAAATGGTGTCTGCATCATGAATATCAGACTTGATTGAAAAGAAAAGAGGTATATTTCAATATGAAAACAAAAGAAATTGAATAGGAACACCAATGGTGGCTTTGATAGAAAAATCCAAACAAAAGGTCAATGAAGGAGAAGCCCACATACATTATAGAGAAGATAAGATTATATTTTAAGTCTGTGGGTGTGCATGCTTAATGGGGGAGTGAAAGGGGAGACAAAGATCAAACAGTTTTGGGTCCCCTTGCTCATCTCCCTTAAGCATTACCTTCCCCCTTGAACAAAACTCAATTTGACAAATTGACATGAAACAACATCATTCTCTCTTTCAAATCAAACCTTTATGTGACCATTTACAAAGGAAATATCTTATTTTCATGATTTCTTTTCATTCTAATTTATTTCTTCATATTTCAACCCCAAATGCAACGTGAAAACCAGGACTAATTCTAGATAAAGCCATATAAAGAATGCATAGTACATAGATATACCCAATTGCCTAAGATAATTTAAGTGGGTTCTTAAAAGCAAAGAATTTTCTCTTTCTTTAATGTTTGCACTCTTTTCAGGACTAGTTATATCTTACATCTCTTTAGATTAGGGTATGAAAAGATTTCGGGTCTATTTTGAAAACGTAACAAAGCCAACTCTAAAAGTTACGAATTGTTACATTATTGGTACTTCTTTTCGTCATACTATCAAATTAACCATTGATTGACCCCTTTTAAACACAATAAGATTCGAACCTACAACTTATTGCACCCTACTCTAGTGTTACTTGAGCTAGAACTCATGGTTTTTTTTCTATTAACAATTTACTAAGGTAGGAAGGTCCTCAAAATTTTTAGTATACAAAAATGTATCTGTGATTCTAGAAAGGCTAATTATTTTAAAGAAACTCAATTTCTTTTCTATAAGAGGTGCACTTCTCTTTTTGCAAGAGGCCAAAAAGCCACTATTACAAATTATAAAACAACAAAAAGTTACACTTTATTATTTTTATTTTTGTTTTCCTGTAAACCTGCAACTATGAGTGTGTATAAAAATGCCTCATCACAGATTTTCTCTTTTAGGGAAGGGGGGGGGCCTAAACAATTTTCCAAACACTGGCCCTGCCAATGCATCTCACACAATCTGGCACCACAATTTTCAAGCACCAACCATATTAATTTGTTCTTGTCCCTCATCTCATCTGTCTGCACAAACCTCTTGAATCTTCTATTGACCACCATTTTCTCTCTTTGTGAATTTTATTTTCTTTTTCTTCCTCCTGACCATGACTGCTGGTCTACCAGCAAAAGACCAGAGACCACTTGTTGTCCACCAGATAGCAAAAAAAAAAACTTTATTTGGGCCAAGTGTGAATGATAAAGGAGCAGTTGGGGCCATCAGTTGTCTAGGCCTGCCCTAGTCAAAGCCGAATTAGGGTTGCCATCAACTCTCAGTTGAAGCTGTGTGCGCATCAGCATCATCATCTTCATGCAGGTGCACTGCAGCCTCTGGGGTTTTTTTATTTTTTGGTTGGGAAATTGATGGAGATGGAGCCCTAACCCTTGCCATGATGCCTTGTTGGTTGGCCAGGGGTCTTACCACCGACGCCTATTTGTCTTGTCCTTTAATTTCTTTCTCTACTGATTGATGATCATGCATTTGGCCTGGCTAGCTTACTCTTCTTATGGACCTTTGATTTTGCTTGTCCTCCCCACAAACCTTATCATGGACTTGTTCAAAGTGGGCATGCCCCACTCTCTCTTTTATTCATTCCCTTCCCTCATTAGTTTCAATTATGTGATGCTTAATTATTTCATTAAACTAGCTTATCTACATTATCCATGTTATTAAGGACAAATATTGTCACTTATAAGGTTGGTAAAGTAATTATTCATTCCCTACTTACGAGATTTTTGACATGTTCAATTTTCTATATAACAGGTTATCACATTGCGCATGCATCACGTGTGTTGTCTATTTAGTTATGCTTAAACTATTAAACAATGAATAAGACATTGAGATTTTGACCAAAAGAAAGTTACAATTGTTGGGCATCCATATTTCGTCAAATTGAAATTTACAATCTAAGATTACTAAATTCATTCTCTACTTCTAAGATCTTCTAACATGTCTATTTTCTTTGTGTCATGATTATCACATTGTACATGTATCTCGTGTGTCATCTAAACAATGCCTCGAAATATGAATATGATCAACAAGTAATCTATCCTTAAAAACCAAATTTTTCTAAACCAAAAAGTATTAGTCTTGCGCAATGTTTTAATCATGGTGTTCCACTGAATGAATGATAAGCTTAGCATGTTGAAATTTTGATTAAAGGTGGAAATTCTTCAACAACTACAATCATTAATTACTGTTCCCATGACCACGTCAAGGCAGACATAATCTGTGAATGATTGAACCAAAATAAAAAATAAAAAAAAGTGAGGGTATATTTTAATAAAAATGTACCCAAACTCTATATTTAAAAAAATATTGTGACAAATTAGCACCCAACGGAAAGGGGATGAGATTATAAATTTTAAAAAAATAATATAAAAAAAAGCTACAGGACCCATAATTTAATTAGATTAGCTGATAATGCTTTTCATAATCCACTAATACAGTATTATAATCGCTAATGCACCTTTAAGCCTTGTTTTCTGAGCAAATTATTGATCTGCAGGGTTCTGATATACTAATTTAAGCCGAGTGAGAGACCACACGCATAAGTATGAAGCACATATTCATTAAATAAGATTGTGTTAATCGGGATACATTAGTTTAATAAAATTATGAAAGTAACAGACATTGTCTCACCTTCTCAGCATTACGTAAACCATTTAATTTCTGCAAGATTTACACGTGCATTAAATAAGTAGATGCATGCTGAAAATATATTCATGTTTATTCACAGTCTCCAAACTTAAAAAAATGTATTTTTAAGGTTAATACGAGAGATTCTTGCGTCCGGTTGCTTAATCAGATGCTTTATATTATGTGAGTGTCTCAGTTATTAAGTAAGTATATGAAATAATTGGAAACTTACAATGATTACATTTTTTTAATTATGAAACTTACAATAATTGGAAGAAATGCATGAAAAGATCTCACACTAAAATTTTAATTTGAGTATCAGATATTTATGTACGTGATAACTTTTCAAGCATATGCATAGGACCGAAGGGGGCACATGCCCTCTCTCCATTATTTTGATTCCTTAACTAATATATCTTTTACTGTAAAATTAGATACAAAATTGCTCTTAAATTCTTAGACGTACCCTTTCACTCTTATTTAGATCGATGTCTAAATTCTTTTTTGAGTTGCATATATTTTGTTGCTAAGATATAAAAGAAACAGAAAAGGTGGCCACATTACAAATTTTGTACCATTTATTACAAAAAGTTGCTTTGAATTTTTTTGAGGTGTCCCACTTACTTAAATTCCCGACTTCATCATTGTGTTTATAGATGATTTTTTATATCAAAATCCCAAATTCTAAAATAATAACCAAATCAAAGACGATGGTAGAAAGCAAAATCACGGATTTTAAAATTGAAAAACTAATAAATCAAAGAAAGAAGAAAACCCGTAAATTAAGCTATAGAATTACAAGGAAAAAGCATTGCCTTCCATTTTCCAACTAAAATGAAGAGGGAAATTGTGGTCAATGAAAACTCTCATGGTCAATAATGATGAGATATACCAAATGCCGCCCAAACAGATAACAAGGATAATGACACAATTATGAAATGACAGGATAAGTACAGTTCTCTCAGTACTTAATTAATCCTTAATTACATTACTCACAGTAATTAACCAGGTAGATTAATAGCACACCCACTTCCTATCTCTTTCCTAATTTCACCACGTGACACGTGTGCAATTCTAACATCTCGTGTGAGCGGGTCACGCAGAGTCAAAGTAACCCACACGGCACAGTGAGCCGCATGGCCCACTCAAGCCATCCCGCCAATCACAGCGCAGATTCAAGCTGACCCCGGATAATCCGGAGGGTTACAGTCGGTGACTCTATCAAAGAAAGAAAGACCTTCACAGCCGAAACAGAAGCTTCCACTTAAGGCCTTCCTTATTTCGGCATTCTCTCTCTCCCTCTATAAAAGCCTTCGCCTTCAGGCAACGAACCCCAGTTTCTCTCTCTCTCTCTCTCTCTCTCTCTCTCTCTCTCAATATAACCCACTTTCTCTCTCTAGCCTCCATGGGCTTCCCAGTGGGATACACAGAGGTCTTCTTTCCCAACATCTTTCTCCACACACTCTCTCTTCTGGGTTTCATCCGAAACCTCATTTTCTCGCTCTTCTACTTTCTGGGTCTCTCCGAATTTCTCGAAACCGACGTCGTTTGGCCAGAGACCAGGACCCGTATGCCCGAAAACCCGCCCGTATCGGCCCTCCTGATCCGGGAATTCCTGCCCGTGATTAAGTTTCGGGACCTAGCCGGAGACCGCCCGGAAAACTGTGCCGTTTGCCTGTACGAGTTTGAGGTCGAGGAGGAGATCAGGTGTTTGACGAATTGCAAGCACATTTTTCACAGGGCGTGTTTGGACCGTTGGATGGACCATGATCAGAAGACGTGCCCTCTTTGTAGGACGCCCTTCGTGCCTGATGAGATGAGCGATGAGTTTAATCAACGGCTCTGGGCTGCCTCTGAGATTCACCATGAATTTTACAGTGAGTACAGTTCGGTTTGAGGCTGCAGGAATTTGTGGTTTTTTCACTTTTTTACTTTTTTTATTCCGGTGGCATGCTGCGGAGGCAATGAAATGTATATATACATGACAAATTTGGTACCTAAATACATGAAAATTTGGTGCCTTATTTGAAGAAGAAGAAGAAGAAAAAAGAAGACAGAGAAGAGAGAAAATTTTGGATAATTTCTCTTTGTTTTTGTATATTTTTTATATATTGAAATACAAATGCTATGATTCTCCATCTTTTTTATTTTTCATCTTTTTCATGAAATCTTGTTTGATATACAATTTCATCCCCAGCAAATTTGTTCTAATATTCTGTGGGTTTTTCTTTGGATTTAGAAGTCAAGTCAACAACTTTAGAAAATGTGCAGGTGGGAATTTTTATTTTATTTTATATTTTTTTAAAAAACAAAAAAAAGGAATGTAGAGATGGGTCTTGGCAATTGGGTGTAAAAGTGGGCTGCAAATGCCAATTATGATATTGCAGACTGGAGAGTGGAGAGAGGGAGGAGTATTGGATGTTATGTGAAATATATATATATTAATTTTTAATTATTTTTAATCTTGTTATCTATTTTTTTAATGATTATAGGGTGGTGATTGAATTTAGGAGTATTGGAGTTTGTTGATGTTGTTGGGCAGGTAAAGGTAACCAATCGATTTATTCGGATCTTGTCAGAGTCAGTGCTATTTAATAATGGCTTGGATATATATATATAAAAACTATCAAAAATTTGGAAAATTTTAGTGGGGTTTTTAACATTAGCGGTCTCTAAACTTTAACCTGAGTTTCAATTGAATTCCGAAGTCTTTTTTGAGGCAATTAGGTCATTCAATTTTCTCATTCGTTACACAAAAGTTTCAAAACTCAATTGAAACTCGGAGTAAACTCTTGTGTCAAGAACTCAATTGAAACTTTGGTATTTATTTGGTAACAGACATCATTTTGGTATGTATATTTTGGTCCATGAAATCTTAGAAATGTGTTAAAGCTTCATGTTTGCATCTAATTTGTAAGGTTTTGGCATCATGGCTCATGATGGGTACCTAATTATACGTGTACTCTCTACTTTGACTAATTAATCACAACTTGATATCTATTAGTTTCTTTTTCTAAACTTGTTTGAAAGAGAAATTTATCACATGTTTCTTTCTTTGACATCATCATAATTTTGTTTTAAAATTATTTTATTTTAGAATTCATCATCATCATCATGCTCATGAGTCATGACTGACTGATATAGAAATTGGGATCTGTGCTTGACATTTCTCAATCTCAGGCTCTGTGAGACAGAGGCTGCCCCTCCTCATGTCAAGTGCTTTGCAGTTCCTAAAGTTGGAAAGGTAAATAAAATTCTATCAGGCTGGCGCAGGCCTTCTCTGCATTGGTCCAGCTATTTATTTTGGCATATTTCCCCACCACACCAGTACCAAAGCCACCTCACCATAAAAGTAAAATAAAAAATTTATGGAATTAATGTTCTAGCACCATCCAGGGGAAAAACTTCAGATTTCACCTTCCCAAGTACAAAAGCAAACGTTAATGGAGTCTACCTAGTGGAGAAGGATAATGATTTGGAGATCGGTGATGCCAAGTTCAAACTCCCATAACATTTTGACTGTGTGTATGTGAGAAAACACCTCTTACTAATTTTGGTATAAAAAAAAAAAAAAAGAGTACAAAAGCAAATCACCATTAGAAACAGAAAAAAGGAAGAGAGCCAACTTAGGACTTGATGAGATGCATGATGAAAATTCACTCCTCTATAATAGTCCCACAGAATGTCAGAAGACAGAGATTGAATTTCATATATTTTGCTTTGTTCTAGTTTGAGATTTGTTTAGTGGAAAAGGATCACATGAATAGGCTCAAAATTGGTTGAGCACTTGGAAGAAACTAAATTGGTTCCCAAAAAGAAGTTCAATTGAGAGACATTGATGGGTAAATGACTGTTCCTTAACTAAGAAACGCTACATATCTATCATTGAACTCAACCAACATTAATCATAAAATCCATACCAATTTGCAGATCAAAAATCCTGAACCTACTTCAACACCCACATGAATGAATCTGTCTGCAATGCATGATCAGAATCACTTGGTGGAAGGATTAGAAGAAGGACCGGTACGACTAGGAGGAGGAGGTTTTATCCCGTGGCGGTCCCGGAGGAGCAGATGGAGATTCTGGGATATAACCAGAAGGTGGAGGAGGAGGTACTGCGGGAGGAAACACACCGGAATCCGCAGAATAAATACCCTGTGGAGATTCTGGAGGATGCACAGGAGGAGGAGGCCCTGGACGATATACTGGTTGCCCATATGCTGGTGGAGGCATATAGCCTGCAGGTTGATTTGGATATCCTGCTGGTGGATAGCCTGCTGGTGGGTATCCTGCTGGTGGATATCCTGCTGGTGGATATCCTGCATGTTGATTTGGATACCCTGCATGACCTGGATATCCTGTTGGTGGAGGTGAATAGACAGGCCGCTGATGATGATATCCGGCATGAGGCATTGGCTGATCCATTCGTGACATCTGCTGCATTGGAGGAATTGCCATAACTGGCTGAGGTAACTTGCCATCCCTTTTGTCCAGTTCAAGCTTGTGCTGGGTCTGCATAACTCCACATCAAGGTTTTTTTTTGTTACAAAAAAGATTTTAAAATCACCATGAAATTGGGATCTACATGAAAGTACATCCTATCAAAAACACCATTAAGGTAGAGCATGTGTTTCTTGGCGGAGATTAAAATTTTAGTATCTTAGAGCAAACGGGTTCGTGAGCAAAAAAGACTCAGAAGCGCAATGCTTTTAAAATTTTCTTCTTTACTATTTCATTGCATACCTGCATGCAAGCACAGACCCTGAAAAACAGAACAAGGCAAAGAATCAATACAAGATGTGATGAGCTCTGGACTGAAGGTGTTGTTGAGATCAGGGTGAAATGAAGGCCTTACGAGCAAAAGACCGTGTCTGCTACACAGCTCAACACACTGGAAATATCTGAGAGCTCCCCACTTCCAGTTATGCAAGCAATCAAGGAGCATATACATGCAAGTTGGTTGAGGCAGAGCATAAATCCCTACAAAAGAAGGCCATGTTGAAGTGAAAAGGATATCAGAAGATGTACAGACAGAGAAAGAGCTGTAAACATAAACATATATATATATATATATATATAGAGAGAGAGAGAGAGAGAGAGAGAGAGAGAGAGAGAGAGAGAGAGAGAGAGAGATTACAATAATGCAGTTATCGCACGGTGCTGTCTGTATATTGAACTCATCTTGTATTAGAAAGCGGGTCGAGGCAACTGAAGTTGCAAAGCAGAAGCAAACCTGAAAACAATAAAGAAAGCATCCACACATAAACAAAACTAAAACTCTATGTACTATGTCTAGGAAAATGTAGGAATAGAGTGCATAAGGGCAAAGCTAAGCCTGCATTTATTCTTTCAAATTGATGAATACCACAGTGCTAATTTATTCATAAATTTTATCACATCAAAATCAATGAAATTAATACCTCAGTGCCAAGACACAATTCGGGGCAGTGACGTTCGCCACACCTTCCACTGCATGGCATATATCCGGCACAGCATCTGTACCTGTAGTAAGTAACATAGAAGATTGCAGAACTAGTATTCAGGAACCTCAATCTTTGTTTTGATGATCAGGAATATCTAGAAATGAATGTAGTTATTAGTTACCTTGACATATCATTATAAAGAGCTCGTTTTCGTAGCAGGTAAGAAACACATGGACCACTGTGATCATGTTACAAAGAACAAATTAGATAATTCACAACACTGAGTACAGAAAAATTGAAGAGAGTATCACAATGAAATCATTGACATGAAAATATCATAGTATAAGAGTGCTTACCAGAAAGCTGCAAAGCAACAATCTGCAGAACAAACAGAACACAAGAAGATTAAATTTGAAGGTCAGATCATATTCACATAAAGAAAGAAATACCAAAAATCCATACATCTAAAGTAAAGCCATGTGGAGCTGATGATTTAAAAATATATAATTCTAATTTTCCCATTCCTTTTGAGACAAAACAACTACACTTTTTTTTCAATCATTTTCCAGTTTCTTTTTCTCAGAAACCAAACAACTACAAGTATAACCTGCATTTGGCTACCATCAGACAGAGTGAACAAGAGAAAACAAAAAAGAACTTACGTCACATGGATCGTATATGCACAAAATTCAAAACCCATTCAGCTAAAAAAGAAAAAAAAAAAGCACTCAAATCTGCATGGAGTCTCAGTAGCAGCAGGACTCAAATCTTCGAATTCGTTTCTTCCTATTATTTATTTTTTTACTCTGTTCCTTTTGTTTTCTCATAAACCAATTATCAAACAGTCAAAACGTAACAAAGAAAGACAAATCCAATTATAAGAAGACCCCTCTGTATATGTCCCATCGGTTTCCTTCTCTGTTTTCTTCATTTGCCTCTCATTTTCTCAGGAACCAAACAGAAACTAAAGAACAATGCACGAACCAATACAAATCACAACTTACAGGGAGTATCGGTAGTCATGGTGCCCATCAAATCGGCGTGCCATAGATTCCTATACCCCTGACGGGTCTGCATCTTCCCCACCTGGTCTTGAATCCCCATTTTCTCACGATCCAAACAAGCTTCCGAGAACGAAAATTTAACCTAACGAGATCGAAATGGGGACAAACCCATACGCAAAAACACGCGCAGAGCGGCTTTGTGGTGAAAATGAAGCGTTGCTCTCAATGTCGCAAAGTGTGAGAGGATTTCAGGTATGCATTTTATATATATATAGGTAAGGTAGAGCGGAAGCTTGGTGGTGGTGACAAACGAGTGAAATTACGTTCGAGGACCTGAAAAGATTGCATGGGGAATAAACACAGGTGGCGTTTTGCTATGTCCGAATATGTAATTCATGGCTTAGGATCTTAAGCCACGTACTAGTTTATGAAGTTTCTTTTTGTTGAAATAATTCATGCAATTACTTCAATTTATGAAAAGTGCTATGAAGATTTTGTAATTACCATTTTTCTTAAGCATATTATTTGCCTCCTTACTTATAAGGAGATATTTATTCTTTCTACGAATCACAGTTTGACACATATACAAAAATAATTCATCAAAATACAAAAAGAAAAATTGTTGCACACATGTTACATTGTTTTTGGCAGAAATATAAGAACTCCTACTTACATGATAAGGAGGAAAGCATTTTCCTTTTCGTAATTGGGCTAATTTGGTTTGAAAAGAGAAACGATATTTGTGGTAGCTACGATGAAATGATCCGAAAGATAAATTATTATGGAAACCTAACTTATTATATTCTTTCTTTATAAATTAATTAGAAAAGTAAATCTTTTTAAGGGTCCATGCAAAAATAATTTAGCGTTCCAACTTTTTTATTTTTATTTTTGGGTTATTTGTCGTCGAAGAAAACTTTTTCGTTTTTTTTTTTTCAGAATAAGCGATAACTTTTTTGTTATTTAAAAAGTAGAGATAGCGAGAATGGAATACAAAATTAATACCTGCAGATTACTACATGTTGGAGCTTATTTATGCAGGAGAAATAAATTTTATTTTTCAAGATCAAACAAGCTGGAATATAATTTCTTTTGTTTTGGGTTGAAGAATAATATAATTTGGGTGTTGTTGAAAGAAAAAGGTCTTTAATAAAATATGAAACAACAATTTAAGCTTGATGCCCATTGTCCAATTATATCACTTTTTTTTATTTATAAATTTTATGTTTTTTTTTTTTTTGGTTGTGGTAAAATGATCCAAACCGTATAACCGTTCGGCTATACTCCATAAATAGAATATTTTAACCGTATAGCCGAGCGGCTATACTCTTTAAATAGGAATTTTAACCGTATAGCCGGGCGGCTATACTCCATATAAATTTTAAACATATATCCGATCATCTATAAATAGAAAATTTAAACCAATATTCGCGCGGCTACCATAAATAGAAATTTTAACAGTATAGCCGCACGGCTGTAAGGCCGAAATAGAATATTTTAAGCGTATAGCCGCTCGGCTATACTCCAAAAACAGAAATTTTAACAGTATAGCCGCACCGGTATAAATCAGAAATAGAATATTTTAAGAGTATAGCCCAACGGCTATACCCAACAAATAGAAATTTTGAAGTTATAGCCGTACGGCCATACTCTATAAATAGAAAATTTAAAAGTATAGCCGTGTGCTATAATCTTTAAATAGGAAGCACAGCCGTACTCTATAAATAGAAATTAAAACGTAATCCACGTCAGCTCTTTTAAAAAAAATTCGGGGTTGAGACTCCAGTGCGCCGCACGTAAGTGTGTTGTAGTAAAATTCTATCCGTTGGTTTTAACAGCTGGAATACATCTAAGCCTTATAGATGATGTATCTACAATCCTCTCTCTCTCTCTCTCTCTCTCTCTCTCTCTGTGCCAATGTTTTTCCTTTTCAAAAATTTTGTACACAATGGGTGCAACCCTTTTCCCCCAGTCAAACGCTGCGTTTTAACCTTTCAAAGATTCAGGTAAGACTGAGAGGGGATAAATATTGTGGTCTACTACTAAGAATTGCTCAAAAGGTAATTAATTGTAGTTTGTAAGTAAATGACCTCTATTGATTAATTCATGTGAAAAATTTAAGAATAATGGTACATGTATTACATTTAATAATATCCGGTTTGTGGAGGATTCTTCTCATCAGTACGTGACATCTGCTGCACCTGAGGCACTCCCAAAACCGCCGGCGGAAGCTTTCCATCTCTTTTGTTCAGTTCAAAATGGTGCTGTGTCTGCGTAACTCCACATAAAAATTTATTTGTTACCAAAAAACAAGAAAGAAAACATGCAACTGGTATTTGCTTGATTAGTTTTTAAATTATTGCATACCTGGATGCAAGCGCAGACCCTGGAAAAAAAAAAAAACAGAACAAGTCCAAGAAAAGAAAAATCAATACAGGAGTATGTACTTAAAGAGCTCCGGATTGAATTTGTTGAGAAGGGTGAAAAATAAAGGCCTTACGAGCAAAAGACCGTGTCGGCAATGCAGCTCAAGACATTCGAAATCTCACCCAGCTCTTCATTTCCAGTTATGCAAGCTATCAAGGAGAATATGCATGCAATTTGGTTGAGGATGACCATAAATCCCTACAAGACAAGCCCACGTTGGAGTGAGAACGATGTCTTAAGGCTTTCCTTTTTGTTACAAGGGAAGGAGATCGATCTCTTGACCTAGCCTAATAACAGTCGATTTCTCGGCGTCATTTGACTAACCCGAGAGCCTAATATCTTAAGATTTGTAAACAGAGAGAGAGAGAGAGAGAGAGAGAGGGAGAGATTACAATCATGCAGTTATCGCAGGGTGTTGTTTTTATGTTGAGTTCATCTTGTATTAGAAAGCGTGTTGAGGAAACCGAAGTTGCAAAGCAGAAGCAAACCTGCACACAAGGAGGAAAGTAACACAAATTTAATCATTTTTTTCTCTACGGATAAAATATGCAACATGTAATTAGTACCTCAGTGCCCAGACACAATTCAGGGCAGTGACTTTCTCCGAATCTTCCACTGCACGGCATAAATCCGGCACAGCATTTGTACCTATAACAGAGAAGATTGCAAAATTATTAATTAGTACTCAACATTTAATCTTAATTAAATTTTGTTAGATGATCAGGATTATATTTAGAACTTAATGCATGTAATTATTAGTTACCTTGACATGTCATTATAAAGAGCTTGCTTGCGTAGCAGGTAAGAAACACATGGACCACTACGATCATGTAACAAAGAAAAAACTGATTATAATTTGCTTCTGGGTTAGCCTGATAAATCTACAGGGGAAATAAAAATTCGAATTTCCATGAAAGAAAAAAAAAACCAGAACTAAATACAACAATGCATCTTAGATAACATTTGCTTACCAGAAACACGCAAAGCAACAATCTGCAGAGAAAACAGAACATTGAAGAAAATTAAAAACAGAAAAAATACACCAAAACCCAAAGAAAAATTCAACCTTCCATTCCATTTCCCATGCCACTTTCCTAGAAACCAAACAACTAATTACCAACAACATCCATTTGGGTAGCCCTTAAAAACAAGAATTTACATTACATTCTCTGAATAATGATCTCTGCTTTCCCTTCATCTTTTTATTTTCCCTCATATTCTCGGAAACCAAACAGAAAAACACCAACCACCTGTCTATAATTTAATATGACCACTTACATGGAGTGTCGGCGGTCACAGTGCCCATCAAATCGGTATGCCATAGATTCTGAAACCCCTGCCGGAGCTGCATTTTCTCCACCTGCTGTTGCATCCCCATTTTCGTACTGTTTCGAGCGAGTTTCAGAGAATGAAAAAAACAATAAATAAAAATTTAAGCTATTGGGATGATCAAAATGTGAAGGAAACAGAAAACACAACACACAAAAACGCAGAGGGGTTATGGCGAAATAGAAGCGTCTCAAGCGGAAAGAGAGTTGTGATATGATAATAGGCACCATGTAAAAATAGCTAGCTTCTAAATAAGAAACAGAGTCGTTTTTATACAATGGCTTTCGTTTTAGGTAATTTTATTTTACCAAAAAACCCAAGTTTATGTGCAAATTGGCGTGATTAGAATGATTACACGGTTCCATTTGAGAATCTGGTGCCCCATGTGTGACATCAATAGCCTCATGATAAGTGGGAGAAATTCTGATGTATAGATTGGTTTAATTTGATGGGTTGTGGCCCAAGTCAGATGTTGTAAGGATTGGGCCTCTTGCCAACCTTCAAACATATTCTTGTTTCCCATTATCTACTATATAATGTTCTCTCCTTTTTCACATTAATGACTTTTACCCTCTTTAATCTCGACATGCTTCGTCTATTCAAAGTTTAACTTTCATGCCCTCTACCGCACTATTTGGTTAATTTGAGAAAACTCTCCATATCGACAATCATGACCTAGGCAAAGACACCCCTTCTTAGCTCATATAGTATTAATTCTCGTCATCAATGTGAATCGAATCTGAGACCTCCTCCAACCAACTGGTTAGAATTTAGGTATTTGTTATTAGTGTCATCATTTGACTTAGAATACTTCGGTTTGTAAAGATTAATTTAATTTAATGGATTGTGGCCCAAATGTGTTAAGAATTGGGCTTCTACCTTGAAACGTATTCTTCTTTCCACTCTCTTATGTACACTTTTCTTTCTTTTTTCACATTAGTTATTTTTAGCTCATTTACTCTCGATATGCTTTGTCTATCCTAATCTATTAACCGGTCAAAAATTTA